TCGGATAACGAACGTAACGGTATTTTGTGTCAAATTTTAGTTGGTGTTAGGCATGCGCGAGTTAAGCATTGCTTTTCCGAGTGTTTGTGCTATACTTCTTTTTTCAGTTTTGTGATTTATATATTTAATCAATATGGCATCAAAGAAAGAAAAAAGTCATAGTGGCATTAGAAAACGACAACGCAATATAAACGACAATGCGCTATCGCATTTGAGAAAAATTTTGATTAAAAGAGTAAGACAATCAACTTTAGATCAATTTCTTGTTTCTTACACAAAGAGTTTGTTTCTTTGTTAAATTATGACAATGCAACACTTGGGCGATCTGACTAGGGGGAATGCCTTCTGGGCGGTGTTTTTAAGGAAAACTGGCCCCTATTTAGGGGTTACAGACTTGGAGAAATCCCAGAAAACTCCACGTGGCCAGCCCGTCTGAGCGAGGTGTGAACCCACAAACTCCCCGTGTTCAAGGTACAAAGACCGCTTAGCCACTGGTGGGTTTTTTACCGAAAGAGACTTCGACTCGAAGAATCTTCCGATGAAGTGCTAACCATTATTTTTTTTTTTGGAGAGGATTCCCTTTCTAAGCATTAAGGTTCGTATATCACCACTTTTCTGCCAGCAACTACAACAAACGAAGGTATGTACAGTGCTATTTTATTAAACACAGTTTATATGTTTGTTGCTGTAATTATAGATACTACGTTTTCCTACATTTTCATCAAAGAAAATTATTCTATATTACTAATAAAATGACAAAAATTTCGAAGACTAGAACGGATTAATTGCATTTGCATTAATTTCTATGTGAAAAATTGCTTCGGTTAACGAACAGAATCGCGGAACGGATTAAGTTTGTTAACCGGGGTTCCACTGTATTCTATAACAGTATGTTTGTGTGCTTAATTTTCAATTAGTCTTTTAATGGTGAATAAAAGTTTTACTTAAATTCTCAACCAATATTTAAAATTTACTCTAATAAATAAAGCAGTTATTGAATGGACTACTTCAACAAACTGTACATTAGTTTTCTGTGGAATTGTTAAAATTTTTCAATAATGATGATGATTTTTATTTTTGTATAAAGGATAAAAACTAGTTTTCTTTAACATTATTACGATGATTCCTCTAGTTCTCGTCAAGTTCGTCGAATACCTCATCCTGGTAGGGGCATGAGTAGTGCTCGACCACGTAGGTCGCAAATGCAGTTTACTTCAAGTGGCTTATCTTCTCTCTCTCCAAGCAGTCGGGAATCAATGGATCCTATAGCAGGTAATTTTTACATTTTTATTTGCTTATTTTGTTATACATAAAAGCATGGTCAGAAAATAAGTTTGCATGCTCAATGTTACAATAAAGTAAACTTCCTGTATCCAATGAGGTTTTCACTGATACACCATTTTTTCAGTGTTGATCTTGTAATTAATTGCTGAGGCATTGTGTGGGGGGGTAAATTTATTTAGCTTGAATGCAGCAACAAGGATATATAACTGTTTATTACAGATAAAATATTTTCCTGACAATTGCTCCTTCATGCAAGAAATAGATGGACTGTATAGAGAATGACCTGTTATTTCTTAGCAAGATTTCAGCTGCCATGCTACATGCAGTATGGCATTGTTTCAGAAGAGAATTCATAATACTAACATAAGATGTTTGTGCCACTATAACTTCTTAATTTTTATGCAAGACTAACTTTTTAAAAGCATAATCATGTTTACTCTAATTTACAATCTAAGACAGTACTTCTACAACAATGTTTTTTTTCTAACACTGTTTGAAAATTGGGGATATCCCCCATACAATGCAACTTCCGATTTCACTCTAGCACGGTTTTGGAAATCCTCTGTACAGAATTTCATAATTTTTAAGTATAAACTTCATTATTCAATAATTATTATTATATTTTATTATTAAAGTAAGCATGTGTGTTGTCTGAAATTTGCCTATGTTATCTCTCTCTCTCTCTCCATACATTGTTGTGTTCTTGAATGTAAAGTGAGCCATACAATTTAATTCAAGTCAAAAACATATGGATTTCTTAATTAATAAAAGTACTATTTATCAAGATAAACATTTCTGAAGTTTTTTAACTGTCTTCAAAATTGAACTCGTGACTTTTGGAATTTGAAAAAATAATTTAATTTATTCTATGATAACATTTCTGGTTTAAATTTGATGACAGATTCAAGTTTATTGTGAAAGTAGTTTTTTGGTTGCATATATTAAACATAATTTATTTTGTACAGTTAAAGCAAACTTTAAATTTTGGAATGTGGTTAATTCAAAATTAACCACAAACCTTTGAAGTCTTAGTAATGAGAATCTGTGGTTTTTATTTATTATACTCCTTTAACCTCTTTCTATACATCTTTAACTATTCTAAGTAGAATAATTTGTTAATGACAACTAATATCAATTAAACAACTTTAATTAATTAACTTAATATTCTAGTAAAAATTTCTGACAATAAAGACAAAACTTTAAAGAAAATTTTAGAAGTTAACTTTAATTTAATAAATATTTTTAATATAAAACATATCTGCAGATCAATACTACAGATCAAACATCGTAATTAATAAGTAACATAAGCAACAGACTGCATTCATCAAACATTTTTGCTAGTATAATTACAAATTATCTCCTAGTTTGGCCATCAAAATTGTTATCTTCAGACATTATCAAAATATCTATACAGTGGAACCCCGGTTAACGAACGTCCTGGTTAATGACCAAATCGGTTAACGAACTTTTAATTTGCAAAAATTTTGTCTCGGATAACGAACGTAACGGTATTTTGTGTCAAATTTTAGTTCGTGTTAGGCATGCGCGAGTTAAGCATTGCTTTTCCGAGTGTTTGTGCTATACTTCTTTTTTCAGTTTTGTGATTTATATATTTAATCAATATGGCATCAAAGAAAGAAAAAAGTCATAGTGGCATTAGAAAACGACAACGCAATATAAACGACAATGTGCTATCGCATTTGAGAAAAATTTTGATTAAAAGAGTAAGACAATCAACTTTAGATCAATTTCTTGTTTCTTACNACTTCGGTGTATCGGAAGCAACATGACTTCCCGACGTATATTCCAGCGGACTCATGCGACCCGTTCGGGTACAAAGTGGCAGCGTTTAGGGCGCTTGTCAAAAGGGCCTACACGCACTGCTCTACTAAGAGGGCATTAAATAAAGAGATGGAATATCTCAAAAAAGTAGCCGACATACACGGCTTCCATAACATAATACAGAGATTGGCGACGCAATACAACAACGTAGGACCACCTTGTACTACCAATAGAGAGGATGGCATACAACAAGAACAACGCATCGTAACGGTTACTTACAACCCGATCTTGACTACTGTTTATCATAAAATCGCGAAACTGCAAGGGATACGCATAGCATATAGAAGATGTCCATCTATTTTTCCTCTTATACGTAATGAGAAGGACAAGCCTAGTCGGGATAGGCTGCCAGGGGTGTATTCAGTGCCACTCACCGACCATAGATGTGACAAGGAGCTGGTATACATTGGGGCCACAAAAAGGGCAGTCGGAGTAAGGTGGAAGGAGCACCAAAAGGACATCGAGCACAATAGATGTAGCACGGCTTTATCGGTGTATGCATCGGACCCGGAGATATCGGCGGACTTCACGAGGGCCAAACTTCTCATCACGACGTCGTATGTAGACCAACTTAGGTGGCTAGAACAAATGGAGATATGCAGAGCCTACGAGTCGGCAACCCCCATCAATTACAAGGATGAGATGACATTATCGTTGGCATGGCAAGCCTTATTACGGAAAGGAGACTCAGATTAATCGACATCGTTATTTAGAAGGCGGAAGGAAAAAAGGGCGCGTGTTATCTCCCACCTATGACACGCTAAAACAAATTTATTCGAAAATTACGTAATTCTATCGTACGAATAAAAGATCGTTACGTGGATACTGAGATTTCGGTTTGAAAAAGCGCGTGATGCCCAACGGAACTCGAAATAAGAACATTTTTGAAAGGCGTTCCAAAGACAACGGGCAGTAACGATGTGTTACGAATAGAACATTGCCTGAAGAAGGATACAGTGGTGTCCGAAAACGTTTGCGATTGAAATTCTTTCACATCGGTTATAGGTTTAGAGATAAGTTATTTTTATATTGTTCCGGTGTGCGTTAGTTGTTTATTTATATGTAGTCTGAAATATTATCAATTTAATATACCTAAGTACTCAATGAAGAATAAACATAGTTGAAAACAAAAAATTGCATCTAAAATAGTACAGTAAAAGCTGTTCTTCAGGTTAAGCCTTAAACCTTTCCCTCTCCCCGTGGGGGAAATTTTGAAAAATTCCTTCTTAGTGTGCATTTTCACAACATACCCTAACTGTGTACCAAATTTCACCTCTAGGTTCAGCAGTTTGCTCTAGTTGATGATGAATAAATCAGTTAGTCAGTCAGGACAAGTAATTTTATATATATACTAGCTGCAAGAACCTGCTTCGCTGGGTTTTTATTTGTTCGTACATTTGTATGTAATATAGTTTTTTTTTTTATATATATAAAAGACTGTTTTTCTAAGTAATCTAGAATCTAGCTGCAAGGGCCCGCTTCGCTGGACAAAAAGTAACGATAGTGAAGATGAAGATAATTACATTATAGCCAATCTTACCCGTTTTCACAGAATGTAAGAATTAGGTCCCCATTTCCAGACTAATTAGAGAATTTTTACGTCCAGTGAAACAAACTATTTTCAACATTTCTGGAACGTTTACAATCGTTCTATAATTGAACCAATATTCAAATTTTATGTTTGAATTCAAATTTGAATATTGTTCGAATTAAATTCAAACAAATTCGAACATAACATTCGAAATAGAAAACCACTTTCAAGCCCATACCTCTCGCACTGTTATAGCTATTGAGACGCAACCACCCTGGTGTATGAATGGAGACTTGGGGCTACTACCACATACAAACACCATTCATGTGCGATGTGTAGTTTTGGCGGAAAAGTGAAATATAGGGACACACTCGTCCATGTTTATATATATATATAAGATGTATTTTTGCAAATGCAAAGTCAGTAATGTATTACACTGTTTCATTTTTTTTTATACCAAAAACGTACTGAGCCCAGCGTATGTTATATAGACGATATAGCTATAGGTGATGTGAACATATCTGTTTAAATTAATAAAAGCTATTTTCTGAAAGTATAGAGCATGGTACATGCAATATGCATAAAATGTTAGTGTGAAATGGCTTTTATAGATGAATATCATTTTGACCTCTAAATTTATCAGTGTTCATTTTCTAAGAAATTTCTTTAGATGCTAATTTTAAAATATTTTTTTATCATGTTTTACCAGTAATAAAATTTAAGGTTGGAGTTACCGGAATAGGACAAATTTACCGACTCTAACTCCAGAATAATGCTAACAACTTACCATCTGAAGGAAATGAGGTTCCAATCATGTGCTAAAAGTTAAACTCTAAGTTACACCCACTCAGCATAGATGATGGATTCAGTGGGCAAAACAATACTTAAATTGGACAGTATAAAATCATCTGGAGAGAGAGTGATTTTTATGACCAATGTGTGTGCATACACTGTCAGCCAAGACCACTTCTATTCTCAATGCTGAAAATTCTCTAAAATTTCCAAGAAAAAGTTAGTGTGTATGTCAGCTGCTGGTTTAGAATGCATATTAAAAGATCATGTGAATGCTGAAACACACATGAAAGTTCTGGAACATTTTTTTTTAACCAAAATGAAAAAAGCATTTAAAATTATGAAGACTGACACTACAGAAAATCCCAGAAAAGTTACTTGACAGTCTTGATGTGCATTGAGAATAGATTTGGACTGTAAAAAATCTAGTTGATTCTATTCTTCAATAATTACGTGCTGTATGCAAACAAATATTCAAGAGTGTTAACCTGCCATAGACTAATTATAGTGTCTTGTGTTATTGATTGATTAATTTATTTATTGTTTAAACATGAAACACCTTGTTAAACTTTTGAGCATACTTCAACTTGCTATAATTTTGTCCTTTGTTTGCTACAATATGATGTGTTTTTGATATAAACCATTGTTTACGTTAATGTTTTACTCCTAAATTTCAGAATCGGTACTATTATCTGCAAAACTTGTTAAAAGTTCAAAATGTAATAAACTTATTATCTGATAAGGTTTTGAATAAGCTGTTATTTCTTAAAACACTTGATAAAGTTTTGATATCATCAGTTGTAGAATATGCTGTTCTTACTATGTTTATTTCATATTTTATTTTATTTTCCGTTTGTTAATGGCATTTGTAGTTATTGATATGAATTATATATTAGCTCATGTTATGTAATGTATAGCAGTTTTAAAATAACAATAATTGTATATAAAAATTAGAATAACAAGATTTAAAATGCATTTTAAAAATGAATACCTGTAATACATACAAAATATTATAGTCCAATAACAAAACTTCCATAAGGAAGATTAAATTACAGTAAATTTGTTTAAAGNCCCATACAATGCAACTTCCGATTTCACTCTAGCATGGTTTTGGAAATCCTCTGTACAGAATTTCATAATTTTTAAGTATAAACTTCATTATTCAATAATTATTATTATATTTTATTATTAAAGTAAGCATGTGTGTTGTCTGAAATTTGCCTATGTTACAATATCGAAATTTTCAAATTTTGTGCTTTTTGTCAGATTTACTTTAATGAAAACTGTTAGTTCAGTTTTTTTCTTCCTTGTCCTAACTTACTTATCAACCAGGTATCATCATTGCTTTCAGACTTTAGGCCTTAAGACTATCACTGTGAATTTTTTTATAGGTTAATCTTCATATTTAGTAAAGTTTGTATGTGTTGTTAAACTATTTTAATTGTAGATATTATTTACCTATAAATGATTTTTTTTTCTTCTTTTGTCCACTTGGGAAGTTATTTTGTCCATTTATTGTTTACAATAAATATATTTTAATTGGAAATTGTGTTTTTCTTTTTTCTCAGTATAACAGATCCTAGTTCATAAGAACTTGTAAGTGGACAAAAGTAATAATATAAGTAATTAAGAACAAGAAGCACGTATCAACTATGAATTATTATGTCATTCGTAAAAATAACGAACGAAATACAATCTCAGTACTCAAACAATTCGGTATTTGAATACAAATACTGGAAAAAAGCTGCTTGGTACTCTACTGAACAAATGTCACTCACAAGAACAAATTTTCAATTAACAACATATCTTTATGATAAAAATAAAAAAATGTGAAAATGTTGCTGATACTTCTGATCAAGAACAATAAAAATACTGAGATGACAATGATACTTTGTAAAAGAAAACACTCTTGTTTAACTAAAATTAATATTAACACACAATATGGTACTTTTAATTGTGATGTTAATTAATTGTTGATTGGAAATAAATTATTTATTGCTTTAATAAACATATTTTTCTTAATTATGATAAAGAATAGTACACTTCTGCTAACTTCTGGAATGTAACCCTATGTTTTGCATTAGTCCTTTGTTTTGCATACATGAATGCATACATACAAGAAAGACATTGGCCATACATGAAGTGTTTAGCTGGAAGAAAGGGGCTAAATAATTATTTTTAATTAGCGTGATGTCTCCTACCGTACAATAGGACTATCTCATAATTTTGTCAAGGGAAGTAGTGGCTTATATAAATTTGGAAAATTAATTTTTAGAAAATTTACAAATGTATTGCACTGTTGATGGTAGAAGATGCCGTGGAAGAGCAAACCTATCTTAAGATAATCTATTATGAAGGCAAATATATGTAAATTCTATAGGCACTTCACATCACTTGCTACAAAATTGAATAATTAAATAATTTCTGGATTAAAATCGTCTGTTTCTTTATAATATTATTCGTAAATGCTTAAATAATCATTATTTTAATAAAATNTAAATTATTCAAATTTATGATATTCCTGTATGATCTTTTTTATTCATATAAAATTCTATTTTACTATCTCATCCCGGAATTTCCCAGGATCCCGGGAAAAGAAATTATTTGTCCCGTAATCCCGCTGGAGGCAAATTTCCCGGGAAATGAGAAACCCTAATTGTGATGGAGAAATCTATAATTCTAAAATGAGCTTTAGAAGTAAAAGAAGGGTCCCAATTGTAAAATTTAACCATTAAATGGATTATTTGTTGAAAGAGCATTCAAAGTAGCCACGAAAACAATTAGAATGCTCGCGCAGAGGTATAAAAGAACACCTCTTTATTACATTTCATGTTGTACGAGGGTTTTACCCAATTCCCAAACCGTGTTAGAGTGCTATAAAAGCACCATGTTATATGGAATGTTCCCAATTCTCAAACCGTGTTAGAGTGAATCTGTGCTATACAAGTGCTGTGCTATACGGGGGTTACCTGTACATCAGTTTCTCTTATATCAAAGGATTGTACGAAGAAATAGATAAAGAAACAAGAAAGATCAACCTAAAACTTGCACCAAAATATGAAAAACTATCGTCTAGAATTAAAGCCAAACAACCAACGAAGAAAAAGAAAGAACCACAAGAAGAAACAAAAAAACATAGTATACAAGATCACGTGTACCTGTAATGATACCAAGTTCTACATAGGAGAAATGAAACGAAAATTAAAAGTGAGACTTAAAGAACATGTAGCAGATCTGAAATATCACAGACCGAGTTCTGCCTTCCACGGTCACTGCACATTAGCTGCAATATAGACCAAAATAATATAAAAATTTTACATAGAGAAACTGAAACATACAACAGAAAATTTAAAGAAAGTGTAGAAATCATTAAAAGTAAAAACTGTATAAATAAAAATTTAAGCATAAAAATAAATGAAAATTGGCTAAGGGCAGGGGTGGCCAACAGTTTTTGCCCCCAGACCGAATTGGAAAGAAAACTTTTTCCACAGGCCGAACTAGAGGCTGCTCTAGGAAGATTTTGAGGTGGTGCGAGATCTCATTGTGGTGTTACCTTGTAGAGACTGAATTGTAGATAGAGATTACAGATACATTTTTCACATTGTTGATTTGTAATGGAGGGTTAACTCTAAATGCACAGTGAGTTGTTGACTTTTTTTTTTTTTAGACATCAGAATTTTTCATTGAGCTATTCGGACTTGAGTAGCTAATATTGAAAGATTAATCGCGGGCCACATAAATTCATTAGACGGGCTGTATGTTGGCCATGCCTGGCTTAGGGTATTGTGAAAGGAATTTTGAAAAATGTAAAAATAAGTAAAAATGTAGAAATTGAAGGAATTATTATATAGTTTTTAAAAATTTTTTTAGTTTTTATAATTTTTATAATCAGTCATGAACTAACCTCTTTATGATATAAAAATATGCTAATTAGTATGGAACTGCGTAGTAAAAGTGGTAGATGACAGTATAAAGTAAAACTAACAATGATATATCTATTTGTGTTTTATTTAGTAAATATGAATTTTTTATATAATAATAAAAGATAGAATTCGATTTGAAATTTAATATCATATTGCATCTTAACAATGAATGAATACAGATGTAAGCAAAATACCTTGTACTTGACGGTACATCTATCTTTTAATTTTGTCATCCAAAAAAGAAACAACTAAGACAATAAATGTATAAGCTGTATAAATATGTATTCATCCATGATACCCAGTTTATAAATAATCTCAAGGTATGTTATAAAATATCTTTACCACTTGTATATTTTTTAACCTTTTACTACTGTGTGTATTTTTTGATATAATTTTAGTTGGCTGAAGAGGGTGTTATGCCCGAAACATGTATTTTAAACACGTATCAACTGTTTCTTTAGTTAGTTATAATAATGATAATCATCAAGTGTTTGAATTTATTACACTACATAGTGTTTAAGAATAAAAAAGAATAAACAGAAAGTACANAATGGATCCTATAGCAGAATTGCTTTCTCAACTGTCTGGAGTGAGACGAACATCCAATCTTGCTCAGTCATCAACTGCATCCACCACCACTACACAACTTCAGCAACTCCAGATGCAGTTACAGTTAGAACGCCAACAAGCTCAGGCAGCTCGGCAACAGTTAGACCGTCTCCCACGGAGACAATCTCAAATTGGAAGCGGAATGGTTACTGGAAACTCAGGTGCCTCTTCTGGTGGAGCAGTTGCTGGTAGCAGTGGCGCTGTTCTTTCACATTGCACTATTGTCCTAGAGCCCACGCCTTCTCCTGCAATAGCTTCTTCTGCATCATCACAATTTCTATTATCTAGNAAATTGGAAGCGGAATGGTTACTGGAAACTCAGGTGCCTCTTCTGGTGGAGCAGTTGCTGGTAGCAGTGGCGCTGTTCTTTCACATTGCACTATTGTCCTAGAGCCCACGCCTTCTCCTGCAATAGCTTCTTCTGCATCATCACAATTTCTATTATCTAGGTATTTGAATAGTTTCATATTTTGACTTCAGTATATTTTATATTAAATATTTTTCAGTTACACTGAGTTTAATGTGATATTGCTAAAAACCAGAAACTAAATTGCATGTATATGCATAATATATACTGTATAAATTTATTATGTAAACTCTTCTGTGTTATCTGATTTATTTTTAAGCATCTTCAGTGTAGTAACTGAAACATGACAATACATTGACAACTTTTAGTTAGTCAGTTCTTTAGTTGCTAGATTTTTTTTAAAAAATGAAGAGAAAGAAATATATTAATGTAGCAATTCTTATTTTTACTTTTCAAAACACAAAAAAAGTGATTCTTCGTAGTCAATAATACCCTTGTATCAAGACAGGCACAAGAACAAAATTCTTTTTGAAGTGTGAGTTCAAACAATGGTTTGCAGAGTAATTTTCTTATGTTATTTATCATATTTTAGCCTATTTGACTGTTGGAAATAATGAAGAAATTTCTTAATAGTGCAGAAACACAGATTTTAGTAAAAATATATTTGTCATAGGTTCCTCACAATGTTTAAAACAGTGACTATTAAATTTTTATTTTGGAAAATGGATCATATTGTGCAGAAGAGAGAAGTATATAAACATCAGAATGCTAATTATCCTGTGAAATATTTTTTGTAAAAATAACTGGTTAATTTTTCACTTTCAGTATTGTGTTACCTAAAGGTTCAGTATAGGGTTCTTCCTAGATATCAGTAATGATTTGAAAGTATTTTATCACTATTTCGCTCTAACTTTATTTTGTACTTATTTTTTAAAAAAAATGGAGCAATATAGTTGCAGAAGTTCTCAAGTTTAAGGTTATTGGAATACAAAAAAATTAATTTTTAAGTTAAATTGTATACATTAATTATATAAAATGTTCTAATAATTTTGTTGAACCCTAAAATGTTAACATTATTGGAATATATTTATAAATGCAGAATTGTTTGCTTTTATGCTTGTGTTAATTTTTATTATTTTTTTCATACAGATGTATGGATCCTTCTCTTTCCGAAAGTGAACAGCAGAATTTGGAAATAGAAAGTGCTGATCGTAGTTTATTTGTTCAAGAGTTATTATTGACTTCATTATCTGAACAATTTGCAAATACTCCAGATTGGGATGCCATTGGAAAGAAATTAGGTCTTCGTTTAGGAAGTGAACCCAGTGAATTTTCTTACTTGCAATCAGCTGCTATTGCAGGTGTGAATCAAGATGAGTCTGTAGATGAAATTACAAATTCAGTTTCACAGGATAGTGTGCAATGCAGTAGTATTACACAGCAGAACCAATCAGTAACTTCACAATTACATCAAACACTGGGTCAGCCGTCTCAGATCAACCAGCCATTACGGTCTTCAGGCACATCACGCAGGTCTCCAAATCTGGGATCTTCCTCTTTAAGGCAATCTGGTAGAAGAGGAGGTGGCAGTGGTACAAATTTGCAATTGAGTGGAAATTCTCAGTCATATAGGGTGGGTGCTCCTAGTCACCTACAACAGTTGCCGACTAGAGATGGACTAAGCAGTAGTCGTAATAGATCTACTACTGGGAGGGATAGTGGTACTTCACCATCCGCTGCTCGTAGGAAAGTTGTAAGACAAGTAGACGATAGGAATAAATCTAGTGAACCTCCTCCGCCACATTGATATGCTTCTAGTTTTGGAATAAAAGGATATTTCTTAATGTTTCAAACACTATATGTGTTCTAGTATCACAATTTAGTCACTTAATTTCCTGTCCAGTTTTGTTTTCTTTATGCATAGAAATGATCAGTTCAAACTTTCTAGTTAAAGTATAAAATTTATTAAAAATGTCAGGTTTGTGGTCATTTGGCTGCCACTGGTGATGTGATTTTTTTCCCCCTTTCCTGTAATTGAATTTACAAACCCCACATATTTAACTTTATATGGATTATAGTAGTCTGTTAATTCCAGTTTGACGGTGGCCTCTTCAGCAGAATAACAGTTTTATTATTTCTCTTGAAGTTTATATTTAATGCCAATCTTGTTGATACAAATAACAAAAATGTTTCAATAATTCCTAATGTTTGAATATGTGTAGAATTGCATATGAATTGTAAAAGCCTGTACATAGTCTTTGTATGCAAGAATATGTGACATGTTCCTTAGGAAACACTGTGCAAAAAACAATGAATGATTGTGTGCATGGCATAATCAAATAACGAAGATTGATTGCATCATACTGCTTGAAATGCCGATAACTGCTTTACAAAGTTAAATGTATTGAAACATTAATACTGTCTGTGTGTATTTTACTAATTTTGTTTTCATTATTTATCTACATTTTTACTTAAAAATTGAACTTTTTCTTATTTCTTCAATTTTTACAACATGATTAAGATCTAATTTATTAAATAATAGTAACATTCTTAATTTTCTGTTGTCATAAATAATGACATTTTCCCTTTGGGAATTTGTTTGATAAACAGTTACAATGTTATGTCAATAATTTATTATACAGATTGAAATTTGTTTAAAATTAAATGCATAATACTGATTTATTAACACATTTCTACAGTAGAAAAGAACTTAGTAGATATTTTTTTAATACAGAAGAAATAGAAAAATTTATTTTGTTTTGTTTAAATGCTACTTTTAAAAAGTTAAGTTATGCCTTTTAAATTCATTCCAGATTAAAAATATTACCTTGAATTATATATATAATTTATGTATAAATTTTAAAAAAATTAATTTGCTTAATTTTTATTTTAAATACTTTTTTGCATTTTAGTATTTATTTTTAGCATTGATACAGTTTTCCTCGTGACATTGGCTGCAAGCAATGAGGAAACATGATTTTGTATTAATGGAATTATTATTGTGTGTTAAGATGTTTTTGAAAATTACTACAGTATCTAAAGTATTTTGTGTAATTTTATTTCAAGCTTTGAAGCCTTTTTTTAAGTTCAGAAACAACTAATTTTAATTAGGTAAAAATGTCTGAAATATGAAAAAGTTCAGTTTTGTTATCGTTTCTATAATAATTGTTAGAATGTTACTAACAGGATGCGTGTATGTAACCTTAAGAAAAAGATCCTTATTCTAAAAATATAGACTTGAGCATGCTTAAATTGGCAAGCAATGCTTGAAATTTGGAAAATTTGAGAAGCTAACATTTTCCAAAACAAAATTTTCTAATTGCATTTATTGAATTAAAGGAAAAAAAATGTTTAGTATATGCTACTCACATGTATTACCTTGACAAGTTTCATATTATCATTAATTTATATTATCTAGTCTTTTCTATTATTTTGAAATGTATACGCGTGTCACATATGTATATGTAACTTTAAATTAATATTATAATAACTTATTTAATCTTTTTATTAAAATTTTTTTATTGTGGAAACTCAGATTTATATCTGTTGAACGAACCCTGTGTTCAATATTTTTATTGACACATTAGGATATAATTTAAATTCTAATACTGGAAATGTATTTATGTAACATTAAAATGCAGCATAAACATTTCATATGAAATCTTACTTTCCAGGTGTATTGCTATTACACTGGTTGTCTTCTTTCTTTGAAGTAAACTGAATGAAATCAGAGTTAAAATTTTAACTTGCATGAAATCTGGAAGGTAATACATGTAAAGCATATTTGTTTCATAATCTGTCATTTAATGATTTTTGTGAATGAGCATATTCAAGCAGTGTGAGGACAAATTTTTCGCTTCAAAAAATAAGTCTGTATGTTGTACGGAGTGCTATTGTGTATGCTTCAAGAAAGGAATAAAAACCATTTGAAACACTGGTGTTAACTGGTGTTAATTTAACCTATAGTTATATATTTATACAATATTTAGTTATATTATTTATTCCCAATCCTATACATAAAAAAAAAACTTGTTCCATGAGATATTATTTCTTGATTATAATATTTTTTGTTTCAGGACAATGAACCAGTTTGAGAAAATATTATGAGGATAAGAATAGCAAAAAAAATTGTCCAAATAAATTATTGGAAGAAGAAAAAAACTAAATATATTGACAACTAGAAATAATGGTAAAATCCATTAAAATAACTCCTTTNAAAGTAAAACTAACAATGATATATCTATTTGTGTTTTATTTAGTAAATATGAATTTTTTATATAATAATAAAAGATAGAATTCGATTTGAAATTTAATATCATATTGCATCTTAACAATGAATGAATACAGATGTAAGCAAAATACCTTGTACTTGACGGTACATCTATCTTTTAATTTTGTCATCCAAAAAAGAAACAACTAAGACAATAAATGTATAAGCTGTATAAATATGTATTCATCCATGATACCCAGTTTATAAATAATCTCAAGGTATGTTATAAAATATCTTTACCACTTGTATATTTTTTAACCTTTTACTACTGTGTGTATTTTTTGATATAATTTTAGTTGGCTGAAGAGGGTGTTATGCCCGAAACATGTATTTTAAACACGTATCAACTGTTTCTTTAGTTAGTTATAATAATGATAATCATCAAGTGTTTGAATTTATTACACTACATAGTGTTTAAGAATAAAAAAGAATAAACAGAAAGTACAGTTTTTTTATTTTTGATGGCAGAACATAAAATATGAAACTTTTGAGCAGTTTTGTAGTCTAGCATGTGGCACTTAGGATGTGGTCCTCGAGTATTTCAATATTACTGCTGTGTATGGATAAGCCTTGGTATGGTGTGAACTTTTATTAAGTAAACATTTTCAAGAACATTGAAGTTAAAAAATTTTGTGTGACTTAAGAGTAAGTTTTACAGAAACTTTCATAGAAGACTGGTTTGATGGAAGCTCACCTTACTCAAATTTGTGTGATCATTGTCTTGATGCATGAACTTATATCAAATTAATGCATTTTTTACATAGAATGATTGTAAATTACATAATTTATATATTTTATCTATTTATTTTCTATTGAAAATCGTTCTCGTCCTTGAAAATTCATTTTCGGAATTATTATCTGTTAAAAATAAAGTTAAAGCACGTACGCACTTGAACTTTTAATTATCAGTCAGATTCATGAATGAGAAATAAACTTAATTATAAACATTCTCTGTAACTTTTAAATTGGAAGTTTTTAGGAAAAAATTAATCATTAAAAATAAAGATGATAATTAATGCAGAAGTTAAATATCACAGGTTACATTTAATAGTTTAGAAGGAAAGATATATTTTAACTTGAAACACAAGGCAAGCAAGTTAAAATATAGAAATCAGTTAATCATTCACTTAATAGATATTATGAAGGAATTTTATTTATCCTTGAATTATTCTATTATTAAGAAAATATACTGGTTTGACTACATTGCCAATAATTCATCAATAATTCCATATCCTGTACCGTGTTTATATTACCAATAATTAAAATTTCACAGGCTTAATTTATAAACATTGCTGAAGTTATTGTATATATATTTTATTATATAAAATGTTCTTGATAAATTTTATTATAAAAATTTTACAATAACAACTATTTAAATATTATGTTTGAATTTTTGTTGCAAGTGATCACATCTTTCAAATAGTTTTTTGTGAATTTGAAAATACTATCTCAACTTTCCTGTTGGTTGGAAAGATAATCTACTTTCAACAATTAATTGTGGTATTTTTAAAATACTTTTTTTCTTATCAGTAATGACTGGTCAAGTCCTGACTTTCTGATGTGCTGTTCTCTAAGTGATTATTTTTTTTAACCTTATTTTGATGTAATTTATTTTTTCTTGAGAAAAATAAATTAATAAACAAAATACAGTGGGTGATTGGTTAACAAACAAATCAGATAACGAACACTTTCACAAAAAATTTTTATGTTTGGACAAGGGACACCTCACAGAACAAACACAAGAAGAAGCAATATAAAATAATGAATACCAATTGGTCTTTCCTTATCTTCAGGCAACAATTCAAAACTTTTCGGAGCACAAGAGATGTCAACATTGACACTCAACCCAGTATATACTGATCAGATAGTATTACTCTGAACTTTGAATCTTTCTCTTGTAATTTCAGCCTTTTATTTTTCTTTTATAGTATTCATGAGACTCTCGGGCAGGCACTCATTAAGTTCTGCATCTGTTTTTATTTTCGAAAGGTGAGAGTATAATAGCAAAGGTAGGAAGTGGGCAGAAGATGTCTGATATTGCTGGGCAGTATGACTTGAACAGGTCTACAGTAGGTCGCAGTTCAATCTTATGTAAGATACAGTATAATCAAGAAGACTCAAGCAGCTAAAGGAGTAACAAAAATCACATCTGAGAAATAAAGAACATTGAAGAGCTCATAATGAAACCTGAAACGGATCTGACGACAGAAGAACTTGAATGAATAACACCAAGAACATTGGTGAGATATGTTTTATTCTGAAAAAAAGGATTAATGCCGATATCTGCTATTAAAGATCTTTTGAAGAAGTGGGAGGATGCCAGAACAACGGTCTTAGAATGGCATCCAAACCAGGTTGAGGTTAATAGGCTTAGGGATCTCTACAATTAAAATGCTATTAATTACTTCTGAAAAATCCTGAAGAAGAGAGAAAAGCAATCGACGTTAGACAGATTTTTCAACCCCCACAAACTGAAAAATCATGTCTAATAAAAATGCAAGACTGTGTATATATGTATTTTTATTATTACATATAAATAAACGTAGTAAGAAAGTGTATATTTTTTATTTTTTGGGGTCTCCAGAACAAATGAATCAAATTCCCATAAAAATCTATGGTAAATCAATAATCAGTTAATGAACAATTCAGATAGCGAACAAAGTCTTGGAACGGATTATGTTCGTTAATTAACCGATCACCCACTGTACAAATTCTTTGTATTGTATTAAATTTAAAAAAGCTTATTCTAATTTGGATCGTAAGCTACCATGATACAGTTTATACAAACAGAGATCAAACACAGTATTACTTGAAATTTTAAAATAACTGGACCTGATTCAAATCTGAGCCACCTTGGAACAACCCATATGAACTGACATTCAGCTTGCCACAATATGCATTTTGTAACTTCTAATTTGAAAATGACTGATCACAACTTGGGCCATAAGCTGCTATGATTTTTTAAAACTTTCCATTCAGTTGTATTAAAAAGGCCATTTTCAAGCCCAATGTAGGTTTGGCCTGGCTCTTAATGGGGACAGCCAGGTATTGAGAGACATGGCCTTGACATATCTGGGAAGCAAATTTCTTTTTACAACCATAATAAGCAAAAGCATTGTTAGCTCATGCTGTGCTAATTTGGTTGGCACTATGAAACTGCCATTGAATAGTGCTAAAATGTTTAATTTTTAAATAAACAAACAATTTTATTTTGTTTGAAATTATATATTTTTACTTTGTTGGCTCTGTTAAATAAAACAAAGTAAGGCAATTGTTCAAAAAATGACCCTCCTCATGATTTTTACATTTTTGGACTCAGGATATGGAAACATCAAGAAATGCAAATTTTTGTTCTTTTTGTATGTATGAATGTTAGTGTGTGTGTCACAATTTTGTTTATTCACTTTGAAGCTTAATTAATTTAATAATGTCTGCACTTTTTTCAAAATTTCTGAAATTTTGCAGTGAGGTTTGTGTATTAGGGGATTGATGCTATTAAATTTTGGTGGTTAAAGGTCAAGAGGATAGGACAATAGAGAAGGGATGTGTGCTATATCTCGAGCAGGCTCAAACTTAATGATGATTCTACTTGCACACACACACACACAGTTTTAAATGTTGTCAGAAAAGTTAAGCAACTTGTTGCTGGATTTTTTTCAGTGCATCATTTTTTGATTGTAATAAATCTGATATCACTGAAATGTTTACAGTTTTTAAAAGTATAACACTTACCTAAAAATATTTAAATAAACTTTACTACATACAAACATTAATCTATAAAAACAAAACACAGTGACAGTCTGAAGGGTTAATATGAAAGTCCTATTCATTATTAGTCAATAAGTTTTTTCACATTTGGATTCTTAGCAGGGCTGTGGAGTTTTAGTGTTTTAGCCAGAGTCGGAGTCGTCAAAAAATCCGCTGATTCTGACTCCTGTTTACTTCCCAACTTTAACAAGTTGGGACGTAAAAAGAAATCAGAGTCTGTGTATATACAATGGAAAAGTATTGAAATTGTGTCAAATTTGACTCTCCATGTTTTTTTGCAAATCTACGTGTGGAGACCTCCTGAACCCCCCAAAAAAGTCAATAAAAGAAGAAAAATTTGCACACATGTGTGTGTTGGCATCTAATTTATTTAATTTCTTTATTTTCTGTTTTGAGATATTAAACAATATCTCAGAATGGGTAAAGTTTAAAAAACAAAATGTGGCACTGTAGCTTGCATATAAAGGGGCATTAATACTGTTAAATTTTAGTTCTTAAAGATCGACAGGGTGAAGACATAAAAGTGGTCATGTGTCATATCTCTTAATTAATTAATGAATATTTTACTCGTTATTAGTGTTCAAAATTTAAAAAAATAAAATAAAACTCATCTTTACCCTCAAAGTAAGCTTTTTAGCCATTTTATAATAGTACAGTAAAACCCATTAAGGTGTTCTCGCCTAAGATGTTAGAATGTATATGGGGACACGATTTAGTTCAACCACTCTGACACTTAATAACTAACTCCTGTGTTAAACCATCTGACTCTGATTCTAACCACTCTGACCACAGAAATTATTAGGCTTCAAATAGGGTGAACAAAATCATGCCCCCCCCCCACACAGTCTAACATCCACACATATAGAAAAAAATCTTGAATCTTTTGCATATCTCGAAATTTCAAGGTGTCCTGAGTCCAAAAATGTAAAAATTTGGGAGGGGTCATTTTTTGACTGAGCATTACACTTTCTGTCTGTTATATATAACAGCCGGAAAAGTAAAAATTATCAAATACAAATTTATATATTGACTGTGTCATTACTTAGAGCAGTGTTCCGCAACCGGTGTGCCGTCACATGGTAAAAGGTGTGACGTGAACTTTTACATATTCTGTTAATTTCAAATTTTATTTATATATTTTTATCACAGTTGTTGTGTTCCTTATGCTTGTATTTCATTCTCTACCACAGCACTGATGAAATAAGATGATGTTTGTTTATTCTTTATTACAAGCCATGCATTTTTATGTATTCTAAGAAATTATATGTAAAGAAAATTTGCTCACAGGTGTTGTTGTCTGTTTAATAACAATAATAATAATAGGTTAGTGGCATTACGTAATTCTATTAATAGTATCATATCATACGTTTTTGAGGAGAATAACATTTTGGTGTGCCATGTTGAGTCATGGGTGTGCTGCAAGTAGAAAAAGGTTGCGGAACACTGACTTAGAGGAGTCTTTTAGCTTAGAATGTAGAAACTTTTTATTCCAATCTTTATTAGAACTCTATTTATTGAATCTTTTATTCTGAGGTCACATGATAACATCAGAATTTTCGGGTCTCTTTCAGTAACAAGTCTGCCCCTGGTCGGAGTAGGAGTCGGATGGTAAGGAAGAGTTGGAGTTGGAGTTGGTAGATTTTTACACAACTCCACAGTACTGTGAATTTGCAAAAGAGAGCAGCTTCTCTTTTGCAAATTCATCTAAGGGGTTTAAAGCTCTCTGGAAAATATTGCATTGGTCTTCCTTTGTTAAATTTTGTTTTCCAAGTTCCTTAATTAATGTATCCAATAAGACACTTGAATGAGTGGACTGCATGCAGTTCATCATATAAATCTCTACATGAAATCAAATTCTTTGCTTGTGACATCATAGCTGAATTATCCTCAAGTTTTCCAATGAATTCCTTAATTTTAGAAAAATTTTCACAAAGAAACGTTACAGCATTTAACCAAGTGCCTCATTTTACAATAACTGGAGTAGGTGGCAAAGGTAAGCAAGTAACTTCTTTGTAAAGCTATACTCAGGCTAAAACAAAAACACATTGCTGAATTAATAGAATTGTTACTCACTGAACTCGTTAATCCAAATGATGGTAAGTTTAGCTCATTTTTTATACACCAAAAAGTGTTAAAAATAGTCCTTTGAAGCTGTTAAATTCATGACATCCATTTGCTAGGGTTTAAATGGCACTTATAGTGGCAATGGTCCAAAAGAGGTAAAAAAAAAAAGGATGCTTGAAGTATAAAATGCTATTCTAAACCCTTCTGTTGCGGTCACTTTCTATGTTTAAAATTTAGTTGAATGTTTCTTCAGAATTGTGTATAATTATTAATGTTTTATAGGTTAACTTGTTATAGCCCTTTCTAAATTTCTTGATGCACGAAACAATTATTCTTTTAAGAGAATATTTGGTACTGAGAGGAATAAAGATATCCTCATTCATTTCTTGAATGCTATTTTAGGCTTTACTGGCTTATCTGCTATTCAGGATGTTGAATTCTTAGCTACCATTTTGGACCCTGAGATTGCCGCTAAAAAGCAGAGTATTGTTGATGTTCTTTGTAAAGACACTCTAGGCTCCAAGTATATTATAGAATTGTAGTTCACTAAGACCAAAGACTTCGAAAGTGCGCTCAGTATTATGCTGCTAAAGCCTACTCAAGTCAAGCTGATCAGAGAGATGAATATCAACTTCAAGGAAATTATCTTTATGGCTGTTGCTGATTGTATTATTTTTCCAAATAAGGTTGAGTACAAATCAAATCATACTAATCAGGATGAGAATACCAATGAACATGACCTAAAGGACTTCTATTTTGTATTCATTGAACTACCAAAATTTACAAAGACAAAAGAAGAGCAACTGGAAAATATAGTAGAAAAATGGTGTTTTTTTTTTTGATATGCAGCAGAAACAAGAGAAGAGGTTCAGATACACACAGAAGGGTTTAGATAAAATAGTAGGTAGTGACGTAATAATAAAATGAGCTTATGAAGAGATGAATAAGTTTAATGGGTTGGAAGAAGAATTACTAGCATATGAGCAAATGAAAAAACGTTTAATAGATGAGATAGTTGCTTATGCTCAAAAATTTGATGAGGGCGTTAGGGTTGGAGAAGAAAAAAGTAAACAAGAAGGGAGGCAGGAAGGTAAGGCAGAGGGCAAAAGACAGGCTAAAATTGCTGTGGCTAAAAACCTACTTAAAGCTGACGTATCTGTCAACTTAATAGCTGAATCCACCAGTTTTTCAATTGATGAGATCGAAAAATTAAAGTCAAATTAACCAAATGCACATGAATTAGTAAACAATTTATGCTTCATTAATTAGCTCATTGTAAGTTTGCAGACATGCTTTGAGGTATAGAAACACAATAAAGTGTTTTAAGGGGTTTTTATAGTGTTGTTTGCAATCAGCTATGGTGATCTTCTATAGCTTTATAAAACATCTGTAATACCCCTTAGAATTTGAATAAAAGTTGATTGCAAATGAATCTACATGGAAAGCTTTTTCTTTAATATATAGTTGGTTTGCTGTATGTTAAATAACAATGTAAATTCGTCTCTGTAATCCAAAACACACGCTTTGGTAGGCTTTTCTCACAGCAATTTCTGGTTAGCAAATTTAACTTTTATTACTCATTGAACTGCTTTTTCTTGTTTGAGTGTGTGTAATCCAAGATGCCATGTTACCTAGATATCAAAATACCACAATAGAATAAAAAGGAGGGCTGTATAAAAATATATTTAGTGTTTATAGAGTTGTTTTTACTATGGCAAAGACAAAGTTGAATGTTTGTAAAAAAATAGTGTATAATTATTAGTACTTTTTAAGTAAATGTCCTATGGCTTTATCAAAATTTATAGGTCCAAGAAACAATTATGCCTTTAGGCATATCTTTGGTACCAAGGACAATAAAGATATTCTCATTTACTTTCTCAATGATATCTTGGGTCGTACTGGTAGGGCTAAAATAGAGAATGTAACCTTTCTCAGTCTGATTCAAGACCCAGAAATCGCTTCTCAAAAGGAAAGTATTTTCGATGTAAAATTTATTTGTGAAATGCAAGTTGCTAGAACAAGTGGTTTTGAGAAACGTGCACAATTTTATGCTGCTAAGGCTTATTCAAGTCAAGCTGGCATAGGTGCCAGGTATCAAGACTTAAGGGAAGTTATCTTTATTGCTATCACTGATTTTGTTCTGTTTCCTAATAAGTCAGAGTACAAATCTGATCACGTTATTCTTGATACAAAAACTTTCAAACATGACCTGAAGGATTTTAGTTTTACTTTCATAGAGCTTCCGAAATTTTCAAAAACAAAGTAAGATCAATTAGAAAATATAGTTGAGAAATGGTGCTACTTTTTTAAATATGAAAGTGAGACTAGTGAAGAGGATCTAAAAAAATAGTGGGAAGTGATATAATTATCGGTAAAGCTTATAATGAGCTGATTGGATATAATTGGACTAGAGAAGAGCAGGCTATGTATGACTGGATTTAGAAAAATGAGGATGATAATTTATCTTGCCTTAACCAAAAATTTGATGAAGGGAAGATTGAAATTGTGGAAGCAATGCATGCAGATGGCATGGATGCCACTACTATTGCTAGATTAACCAGATTGTCTGCTAGTGAAATTGAGAAACTAAAGTCAAATTAACCAAGTGCAAGAGTTAAGCTCGTTTATAAGTTTGTAGATATGCTTTAGGATAATAGAAACATGTTTTAAAAGCTTTTTATAGTGTTATTTGTGATCAGATATCTTTCTATAGCTTTATTTAGAAAACATCTATAATGCCCCTTAGAATTTGAGTAAAAGTTGATGTGAGTAAATCTACATGGTTTGAGTTGGGTGTTATTCAAGATACCACAATAGAATAAAATATGTTTTTCTTTATTTTTTTTTAGGATACACTAAGTATTTCAGTAGAGGGTAAATAATGAATTACACTTTAATGCCACCACTTGAGCATATAGCTTTAGTTAAGATAGCTACCATGTTATGGAATCAAGATGATGCTAGGGCTTTAATGGCAAAGTTCTATTTTCCATTACTTGGCAGTGAAAGAGAAGAAAAAATGGCAAGAGATAGAAGACAAAGTAATAGAAAAAGTACCACAGTTTTCACAACCAGAACCTTTAAAAAATGAAATATTGGGTTTTATTAAGCCAATAGGCTTACAAATATTAAAAGGATGGAATATCATGATGAAAACTGCTATCCTGGTATAGATCTACCAAGTGAGCTTTGTTGGACACCACAAGGGACGGTACATAAAAAGAAAACAGCAGAAGCGTTAATTAAGGATGAGAGTTTAGATATTACCATATGCTACAAATTGGCATGTATTTATTGTTTAGAGAATGATATTCCATAATTATGGAACAAGATGCCTGAAAATCTCAGAAAATCTTTTTATAGTGAAGAAGACTCAAGAAAGATTAGACAGCAGGAATTAGTGGTTCTTTGGACATGTGATATAAAGGGCGAGGTGGCTACGATGGATAATATGATTGAAAGAAGGTTGCGGCATAAATGCTCTCCTTATCAATATGCATTCGAATATGCAGCAGTTGGAGGTAATAAAGTAGCAACAGAATATCTTTTACAAAGATTGACTCCTGAAGAAAGAAAAAAGTCTTTAGTAAGAACTGCAGGATATATAGCAGAGAGACATTGCAGCTCTGCCAGCATCTGTACTGATCTTCCTAAAGATTATGCTGATGTTTTATGTTTTTTACTCTCACAAATGGATGAAGCGCAGCAAACAGAAGTATTTGAAAGCTACCCTTATAAAGTGTTAAAATGTTTTTTGGGTTGGCCATTGCAAAGTCTTTTTATGGAAACATCAAACCGTATGTTGAATTTTCTTTCCAAAGAGGATTGCCATTATTTTTTGAGAGAAATGGCTGATAAAGTGATAGAGGGCCATAAAGATTATGATTATCAAAAGCTTTTTGGGGAATTTTGGAGACAAAGCCCTACAGCCCATAAAAGATATGTTATAGATAAGTGTGCTAGTGGGTCTCTATTATCAAAACTGTTTAAGATTAAAGATAAAAAAAATATCTCATTAGTTTTGAAAGATGCAACTCTTGCAGAAAAAAGAAAATCATTTTTTACCATGAAGGTAAGGATACCTGTGAAAGTTTAATTTATAGCAGTAAATGGGATTCACTAAAATTCTTTCTTCAAGAGTGTATATCATCCAAAAACATAATGATTAAGTTCAAAGAAGAGTTCAAGGAGCGTATAACACGCCGTTGCTCAGAAGAAAAACTAGAAAGAGAGAAAAAGATATGTGGAATAAATTTTTTCAATTACTAGATGACCTTGCTCAAGAAAATAATAAAAAGGGAAGTATGGAGGAAGGTGAAAGTAGTCCAGATAAGAGACTTTGTAGTATAGAATTTAAAGAAGTAGCACATATTATGAAAAAATAGGTAAAAAATGCCAAAGGCAAGAGCTAAAATAAAACATATTGCTGAATTAATAGAACTATTATTACTAACCCGATTAACAATAAAGGTAATCCAGTTCTTCCAGTGGATTTGGAGAAGCCCATAGGATTTGCTGAAAAATTTAGTTAATTTCTCCATGAAACTCCAAATATTGGGTCAACATTTAAGCCAGAGTTTTTTATTCATTCAGTGTTGGACTCAATTTCAACTTTGCCTAATAGTGGATTGATGGAAAAACTTGGTATCAATAAGATATATGTTAAACACACTAAGGAACATGTTGAATATGTGCGAGGTAGTAAAACAGTAAAAGGTGAAGCTAATGTTGTAAAATTATGCTTTTCTTTTGAAAAAGATGAGAAGAAACAGATATCCCTTAGAGTTTTTGCAAATAATGAAATTACAGGTGGTGAAAATCCAGAAGATAAATATCGTTATAACAATGATGAACTTAGAGAAATAACGATAAAACTCAATATCTCTGATATCTCTAACATAGATGAACATGTGTTTTGTATTTGTACTGAAGGAGAACTAGGCAATAAATCATTTAGATTACATAAATGGCAGACAGATGGAGTAAAAGAAAAATTTGAAGCAGCAGCATCTTCTCAATCTCAGATTAATTATGAGTTTAAAGAGGTCAATGCTCAGTCTACAAATCTTGAAGATTCATTTAAAATTTATAACATCGTTAGGCATTGTCTCCAAAGTGACCAGGTTGCACAATGATTTCTTGGTCCCACTGTAGAGTAGAAATTTTATCGTGTTACCGAAGGTGTAGCCCTCGACAAGAGGAAGACCTCTTTCCAATATTACCACTTCCGGAATCAGTTTTATTACAACATCGGGCATGACACTGACTCTCAACATACTCCTTTATTAGTTTAACATATCCTTGTGTCATTTGGGGCAATTTCTCACAATGTGATCAAGGTCGCCACATATAAAGCATTCCCTCCTCTGGGTTCTGATGGCCTCTCGCGGATACTTAATAACCGATTAACTGAGTCAGTTAATGCCTGTATTTTGCATTATAGGGTTTTTATTTGATTGTTGTCAGGTTTATTGGCAACAATCGATACGTCATTGGGTTGGCCAGAATTATCAGATGTTTGCTGGGTCACAATATTTATGCTCTTCCAGTCTCCCAGGCCACTGCGTTCTAACTCAAGCTGCTCTTCTGTCTCAGCAAATTCAAAGGTTTTGTCCAGGCTTTTAGGGCTGCATCTCAAGACGTTACCCTTGACCTGACTGTTTAAGTAAAACTGGATTGTTGGTCCTGGCAAACACCCTGTATAATATGTATTTTTTTCTACTCCTTGACTGGAACATATTTCAGTGTTGTCTCTCCTTAAGTTGAACTAGTCAAACTCAGCAGGTGCCAACCAACCTAAGTTTATTAAGTTATATCAACTCCTTTAGCACATTGTTTGGTAAAGTAGTTTTTTATACAGCTGGATAAGCTGCCAATGACAACAAGTTGCCAATTTAGAGGAAAATTTGATAAATCTTGCTTTCCTGTAGCATTGTCAAATGACTTAAAAGTTATGCTCTCTGCCTGGAGGAAATATTAGTCATAGCATTTTGTCATAGCATGCTAAAGTTTATTTTAGTGTTTTGTTTTTTATTTCCATTGGCAAACTGATTTTCTTATAATTTATACTTCTATTTAGAATGGAGTTTGTCATTCATGCCAGCCATCTTAAATTTTGTGAAATCTTACATTAATAAAGATGTATTTGTTAAAGAATTATAACAATCTAGCATTAAAGTATAACAACCTATTGTTAAAAGAGGGAAAAGTCAACCTTTGAACAAGTAAACAGGAGGAATCTTACAGGTCTCAAACCAAGTATGGTATTGTCAGCTTCATTTAACAACAGTTTAGCATCATCAACAGCAACCTCTGACCTCACACCTGCAACTTCGTTTCCAAACATCCAATCACCTGATGGGTTTTCCCCCAGTCTAGGGAAATAAAAGGAGGCGATGAGAATTCGCATCTCAAAGCAGACATCCTTCGAGACCATATGAAGTGGACATCTCCAGACTTGCCATAGTCAGAGTAGACATCTCAGTGCTATACAAGGTGGGCACATCCCCAAGACGCCATATCCAGGCAGACATTACCATATCAAGGTGGACATCCCCAGAGGCCATATCAAGGCTTACAGATGGAGGAAACATCCATAGGGAGTCATCCTGCCATATTGTTCTCCGAAGGACCCCCCTCGTGAATTGTATGCTACAAGCAAACATCATCCTGAGCCTCGACTGCTATTCTTTCTCCAGAAGAGATGGAGGTATGATCGTTGCCTACTTGTTATAAACTCTCTCCCTTTCCACATAGCTAGAATGGGCCTAGTATCCCTAGAGCCTAATATTTATGCTTAGTATTTAGTCATGTGTTTGTAGTTATATTGTACTCTAGGAGTAATATCTATATTAAACTTGTGTTATTTGTTAACCTGTCTACCAGTCTTTCTTGGAATACTTTACACCTTATCGACTTACTCACTGCACTCTCCACTTGACAATCGACTCAACCCGCCTATTCATCATGTATTTATGATTTGCAAGTTAGGACATGACTTTGAACTATCCTAACTGGTGTCAGATTCCTGATGTTGGAAGGATTTTACAATCCCGCTGACACTTTATCAAACAAGCCATCCAATGACAATGTGAGCGGGTTTAACCAACCCATTGCCAACTAAGCGGGCTATAGAAAATCCCCCTTTGCCCCTGGTTTCTCATATATTATTGTAATGTAATTGATGTTCATTAATTATTGTAGTAACATAATATTTTCATATTTGGTTTAATAATAAATATGTTAAAAGTTACATACAGAGATGTGAATAGGGTTTATACAAAAACTTCTATAAAATCGGTTTTTGAATTTTTACTCCCCCAACAAAAATGAAGATAAGGGATATTTACAACTTATTTTAATATGATATCCTTGAAGTTATCCAAGGAAGTTATCCAAGTTATCAACTCATTCAATAGGCATGGTCAGAAGTCAACTCAATGACAGTTGAATTCAGCTTGACAAAAGCTGTGACTATCCTACAGTCAAGGAGATGAAAATGATGTCCCTGAAATTAAGGATGAAATTGTGACAACTGCTAGAGATCTGGAATTTGTGGGGAATGAAGATGACATTAAAGAGCTCATAATGAAATATGAAAATGATCTGACAACAGAAGAACTCCAAGAACTATTGAATGATGAACACCAAGAAACTCAGTGAGAGGTGTTTTCTTCTGAAAAAGAGGAAGACAAAAGAGGATCAATGCCAACATCTGCTATTAAAGATCTTTTGAACAACTATCTTAGAATGGCACCCAAACCAGGTTGAGGTCAGTAAGCTTGGGGATCTCTACAATGACAATGCTATTAATCACTTCCAAAAAATCCTGAAGAGAGAAAAGCAATCAATAGATTTTTTAATGCCCACAAACAGAAAAAAAACATGACTAATGAAAATGCAAGACTGTGTATGTATGTATTATTTTTATTACATATAAATAAACATAGTGAGAATTTATATAATTATTTATTTATTTTTTTGGGGTTCTCCAGAACAAATTAATCAAATTCTCATAAAAATCTACGGTAAATCAATAATCAGTTAACGAACAATTCAGGTAGCAATCATCATCTTTGAACAGATTATTCATTAATCTATTACCTATAGTATTTGATACCAATCAACAAAATCAACAAACAATAAAAAAAACTGTTGTAGCCAATACTTACAAAATTTAAAATAAGAAAAACATACAGAATACAGCTAAATCAAAAATATTTAAATCTATAGAGGAAAAAATATATAAGAATTGTTTAAAAAATAATTACAATATATGTCAAAAATGCTTTTATTGGTCATGTTTATCAGGTTTCAGGGTGGGTCATTCTTATAAAACTTCATTAAAATGTATTTCATTGGACTTAGGTATGTCCTCAAAGTTTCACACTTCTATCTTGATTAGAAGTGGATGAAATTTGAATTATACAATTTGAAGATAATACAAAGCAAGTTAAATAAAAGCATTTAAAAATAATATTAAATGTAACAGAGAATCATACACAACTGATAGATTTTTTAAATGAAAACATAATAATTATGATTGAATGACAGACTGTTAATAATTAGTTTATCAGACATCTGTGACCTACAAAATGTAAGACAAGTAAAACCAAAAGATGAATCAAATAAAAAAAAACAAATACAAAAACATTACAAACTCAAGCAAACTATTAATTAAACAAAGTGGAATTTATTTTTTCAAATCAATGTATTTTCATTGAGTATCAATATTTACTTTTCTTGTAATTCATAAAATATTATGGATTTAGATGAAAAATCATTATGAAATAAATTATGAATTGCTGCTAAATTAAAATTCAAAAATTTTATTGGATTTGATTATTCAAATGAAGAGAATTTATTGCATCAAGCAAAAAATTTAAAAAAGTGACAATGATTCTGTATTTTTTATTTCTATAATTATTTGCAGATTAAAAGTAAACAAAAAACAAATCTGAAATCTGATGTTTTATGTCATTAATCACAATGTTTCCTGCTTTTGACATGATTAAGTATTCCTTGAAATGTGTTTTAACTTTTGTATTGATGATCAGAACTTGAACCACAACACTGAATCTTTTACATCTCAGGAAATAAAATTACCAAAAATAAATATTATTGCATTAGATACATATATAGTAAAATGTATTAAATGAAAACATCTATCTTACAATCAAATCAAACACATACTCTCAATTAGTTGTAATATGAAA